CCGTCACGCGTCGCCCGCCGCGGCCGCTCTCCTGCGCGCGCCGGTGCCTGCGGGAGGGGAGTGAGTCTAGCTGGGAAGTGGTTTTTGAAAAGGATCGGTCTCCTAAATCGTTCATTTTCTGTGCTGTTTCATGAGCTCACCCTCCTGTCCCCGCTGGAGGGGCTGTCCCCTGCCATCCTCCGCAGCCCCGTTTTGTGCAAGCGCGGAGCACACCCGTGCAACAGCACAGCGAGCGGTTTCCCTGGGAGGATGCAGGATTTAACTGCTTTGCTGCTGCTGACATTACTCCCCGCGCCAGCTTTGCCTCTCGAAGCGCAAGACCGCTCTCAAGGCGAGCCGTGCCGCCCGCTTGCAGCGACACCGCTCTCAGCAGCCATCTGGCCGTCTCTTCAGTCTTGTTCAGCTTAATCCAAAACCTGTTTGGGGCAAGTGCAATAAACTCCTTTATTAATTGTCATGTTAAAAGTCCCGAATGTTTAGAAAGAAAGGAAGTGGGTTTCCCTGCCCCCCTAGCAGGGTGTCTGGTTGAGGTTTCAGGTGACTGCCGGCGGTGACTGCAGCGACTTCACATGCTCTGTGTTGTGCGTGGTTGCTTTTTAGTGCTAGTTGAGGAAATAATTGTTCTTGCAGAATGTTTGTGTAGAGATTAAAGAAACTGCATAACTTGTTACCCAAAAGCTGATCTACATGAGGAGAACACATAGATGTTACTGACAGCACATCGCAGCAAAGGGTGTAATTGAACAGGCTCTGAAAAAGGCTTAATTCTAAATATAGAGGACCACACTACACTCAATACTGTTTTGGAAAGCATGGCTGAGCCATCATTATGCATCTTCCCCTCCTCCACCTGTGCCACAGGGTGTCAGAAGATGAAGTATACGTTACCATGTTTCACTTTCTTGGTTTATTTTTGGTTTAAATCCAGTGGGTTTTTCTGGGGTAGGATGTGTCCTGATTTTAAGGTGAAGAGCAAGTCTGCTGCTGCTTACGCTGCCGTGTCACTTAGGAATCTAACTGGACATAAGGAGTTTTTTATACTTAATTTCTGTGTAATCTGAGCAAAAGAATGAGGTGTATTAACGGAGCAGGCCAGTGTTGTTCCAGCAGGCATAGGTGCTTTATAATATTGCAGAGGCAAGCAAGGGAGCTGGCAGTTTGGAGGTGCTCTCAACAGCTTTTGATATTTCTAAAAACAATTTCCAAATGCTCCGTAGATCCCCAGAGAGCAAACTGAAGCCTGCTGAGATCTGGCTTAGAGTCCTAAACTTTCTAGGGATCCAGATAGTCTGCTGCATCCACAGATGCTGAAGTTGCCCTAAAAGCAGACACAGCCATTGCAGAGGTCTTTCCTGGTTTTAGGCTATTAAAAAAGGTGGCCTCTTCTCCAGTAAAATTGTTCTTAGCTTCTGAAATGAGAGTATGGTAGAATTTCACCGAAACTTGGCTGACAGAGGAATAATGTGTTCTGGAATTGTGGGAAACTACGACACAAACACTGTCAATCTCTCAGGTGATTGAGTCAGAGCAGCTTTTCCAGCGATGCTCAGTGAAACATCTCTGCGAGATAAGGGAGATCTGCTTCCCAAACACTGCTTTTCTACCCTCCGGTGTTGTGGAGGGGATTTCGTGCCATTTAGACTCAGACTGGAGATCCCTTGTGGGGAGGAGGGACCGTAAAGCTTGTAAGGGGTTTTCCTTCTTGGAATAGAGTGAAGTACGACTGGGGTGGAGATCTGGATTAGAGCTGTGTGATCAGGTGATGCTGGGGTGGTGTTGGCAGCTGCTCAGCCCATTGTAAACCAGATTAACCCTGTGGCCGCTTTGCCTTGCTGGTAGGGTATGTCAGGCCTTCACCCAGCCCCGGCGCTGGGCTGTTGTGGCCGCCTTTTGTCTCAGGCTCTGCTGAGTGTATCCTTGCTGTAACTGGAGGACTAAGATCTGGCCTTGACGTGGCACCCAGCTACAATAAATACTAAAACGTCCACCAAACATAAGGTCAGCGATACGCACTTTACACAGGGAAATATTCCACAGAGAAGGACTTACGCTCCTAGAAGTGCTTTGAAAATGGGTCTTGGAGAGGCCTGGGAGGGCTGTAGGCAGCAGATAGAGTTGCCCGCTTGGGTGGAAATCTGTCCTCATCTCAATTGGCACTGAAGCGACATCACCCACGCAGCTGGGAGGTCCAGCAAGGGTATGGAGAATGTGTCTTGTTCTAAATTCATGGCTTTCGCTTGCAGTTGGAAGGAACCAACTCCTCCTTTTCAGGGTGTTTCTATTAGTTGATTTGAAGCTGGTAATAACCCTGGGGCTTTTTTTTTTTCTTTTTTTGTAAGGCAAGTGCATTTGGTAGCAGTACGCCTAAATAAGGGCAGATGCACAGAAGGTGTAGATTTTTCTAGGAACTTGATTATTGCTGTTACTTACCATCTCTGCAGCTGGGGTTGCTTCAGTAGTAAAGCTCATTTATCACATGCTGCTTTTGCTAGAATGGCTGGATCCAGCTTTGAAACGGGTTAATCTCAGCAGAAGGCTTCCTGGTTAGATTTTGGAAGAAAAATCTGGACATTGTTGTGGCTCCCCTGCCCCGTGTCCTCTCGCTGGGTTCAAAAATGCTACAGAAGGAGGGGGAAATGGGCAAAGGGAATTATTTTGTGATTAATTTCTTAATTGCCAAACATCCAGATGTGCCAGAGGCTTTGTGCAGTAGCGTTGGATTTGTGCATGCACTTTCTGCTGATGCTTTTGTTTCTGCGCTGTGTTGTGTTTTTCTTCCTTTCTGGGTAGCCTTAATATTTGTCTACTGGAATCAGGATGCTTAGGGTATATTTTCATGATATTGTGGCTTTTAACGTGGGAGAGTGGATCCATGGATTTGTAAGTACCTTATAGTTGTTGTGTTCCTTCGTGCCCTGGAGGGCGGTAGTAGGGAGTAAGGGTGTTTTTGTAACAGTTGACTGTAAAATGCTGTGCTGTAGCCCGTGCACTAGCGAAAGCATATTTATGCGTCTGCAGCACCATACTTTGTGTCGGCAGCAGAGATAAAGAAGGTAGGAAATCAGTCAAGTGTTGCAAAGTGTGTGGGTTCTCCCCGTGCACCCACACTCGCCTCCTCTCACATCGCACCTCTGAGCCGCGGAGATCAGGAGTTGTTCACTTAGTAATTTTCTGATGGTTTTTTTTTTCTAGCTTCTTTGTTTGCTTGGTCAAGCCATCAGATGCAGAAATCAAGTTTAGTGTTGCCTGCTTTCCTTTGCAACACCTCGTTGCAGGGGAGCAGCTTGTGCAAGGCGCCGTTAGCTCTGTTGCTCATCTCCAAACAGTAGTTACTCTTAAAACCGAATGATGGTGTGTTGTGAAACTTGCCACTGAGTTTTAATTGTGGCCACATGGTACGCGCTGGTGTTCAGGCGTATTTTGTGACTGATGACAGAGGTCTCTCTCTTAAAGAGGCTAAGTCGAGGAAGGGAGGGCAGATGGGTTTTGGTTTTCTCCAAGACTTGGAAAAGTGGGTCTGGCAGATGTGGCCAGGTAGGACTGGAGCTGCTGGTTCAGCTAAGCGTGGAATAAAATCTTAACGCTTGCATAGGCAGGACTTCAATCACTGGGTACCAAAAGTTGTTTTAATATTGCTCTGCGAAGGCATGGCTTTTATAGCACGTCTGTAGTTCGGTTGGTAATTATTAGCAGTGGCTAGATGGTATCAGTCATGCCATTCAGTATGTAGCTTTTGATCTATCTGTCAGTTCTGCTAGGGTTTTTTGTGGACTGTATAATTAAAATCACACTCAAAATAATCCCCCCTTCCCCTCTCTGTTTTTCCAGGAGGCGAAGGGCAGAGTGGAGATGGGCAGCAGACCGTGCAGCCATCGTCAGTCGCTGGAATTGGCTCCAAGCCCACGTCTCGGACCTGGAATACCGAATCCGGCAGCAAACGGACATTTACAAGCAGATTAGAGCCAATAAGGTGAGAACGAGGAGCATGTTTGGATGTGTGTGATTTTGCTTTGTCTGTCTCCTAATGGCTCGCTCTTCTGATGCAACGGGGAGTGCATATGCAAAGTCTGATGCTTTTTTTCCCCCCTGCATCTCTCAAAAAGCATATTGCACAGCTGTGACTCACTGTAATGCTATTTGGCATGGGCTGAGTGTAATTCTTTTCCCTGGTTCAATTTGGTAACGTGAAGAGAGCAATACCTTACTTTCAAGACCGTCTTCGGGTACTGAACGGAACTGTTGCTTTTGGGTGCGTGTTGCTGTTCCTCATTGTTTGAGCCTTTCTCTACTGTTTTTTTTTTTTTAAACCTTCCCGTTCTTTCTTATTGGGAGTGGCTGAAGATGGGGATAAGGAACAGCTTAGCAAGAGACTTGTTAGGGAAGGGAGGGGACTGTGGAGGAAGTTAGCTTCAGATGCTATCACATAGCACAGGCTTAAAATTGAGTCTATCAAAAAAAGCCTGTTTCTAGGTGCTGACCTTTCTCTGTGGAAGGGATTCTTTTTTTCAGACTTGCTCTCAGATGGCGGGAGAATGGGGGAGAGCAGAGAAAGGATGAGGAAGGAATTGTTATTGAGACTTGTTCAGGCATGCACGTCTAAATGTCAGGCCTTGGAGGGAGGAATGTCTGGAGTTTGTGGCAAGGAGGCTCATGGTATTGCATCAACTTAACACATCCTCAGGAATTCAGAGTCCAACAAAGGCTGGACCCAAGATGTGTGGTGCTCTGGGGGCGGTGGGGAGAGAGGCTTCCAGGCGGGTAGAAAGCACAGGCAGGGGAGGGAGACTGGACTTTTATGCAGCTATGTAGAAAAGCAGCCTAAATGAGTGAGTGAGGGCTATAAATGACTAGGTGGAAGAGCATGGCTTGCTGAATGGAATACATCACCGAGATTAGAGCAGAAGGCTTCTGGGAAGCGGACTGTGTGTCAAATTAGTGAACCAGTTTGAGAAAGAATCGTCTTCCTTTTATCTTAAGAAAGCCAATCATGCAAGATGGTTTCTAAGTGTAAAATACAAGATAGCTAAACATTGACATGCTAGAAGTTAAGTAATGGAAGAAATGAGAAGACTCATCTAATGAAGTGGAAGATTCAGTGCTTTCACCAGATGATGACAGCTTGACAGACTCGTGAAATGGCCTGATAATGGCTACAGGCATCCATATGTTTTTATCTAAGGTTGCAGCCTCTAGGTCTGAGAGGGGAACATCAAAGTGTGGTGTCAAAGTTGAAAAGTACGTCTGAGGTTTCGGAAAAAACAGGTTGTCACCTTTTTTTGATTTGTTCAGACAAAAACTCCTCCTGTGATAACCCAATACATGAATTTAAGATTAAGCGTGCCACTTAACAGTGTTAGAAGGACTCAGATGTTGAGGGGTTGGTAGTGACTGTTCTGCCTGAACAAGAAAGCGAGTATCAAATACCCCGTCTTTCTGATGGGACTTCATGGACATCACTGCTTGCACTCAGCTGTCATTGGCTTGGTGTCGTGGAGCTCAGGGAAGCCTTGTAAAACGTGTTCTGTTTTCATCAACGAAAAGCTCAGAGTGAGATTCACAAAAGCAGCTTGGGACAAGTATAGGAGACTAGAGAAATGAGTGCGTGTCTCAGTAATACAGGAGTCTTGTTGGAATGGATTTGGCTTCAAATTGTACAAGGACAACAGCTGAAGAATTTGGAGACACCTTGTTTTTTCTATCAACACAACTTAACTCTGGCTTATTTGGCCATAAGGAGATTTAAAACGTAGCTGCTGCAGGAGTTCAAAGTTGCTATTCTAGTTTCCTTTATTCGTTAAGGTTTGCATCCTGGTGTACCCTTCAAGAAAGGTCCGTTGCTTTGTCAAAGCAAAACAAGAGAAGGACCAGGCAGTCGAAAATAACCTTCTGTTTTGAAGGTACACTGCTGCCTGGGTGTCTCAGCAGTAATTGTGTTTTCAGCACGTTTGGATCGGCTCAGTCGGAGCCTGGTGAGGTGCAGAAGAAAACAACAAATCAGTGAGCATGTGTTCAGAGTTAGTTGTAAAGTACTGTGTTTTCTGGCGCTTAAAAATAGCGGGCTGTTGTGCCTTTGGTTTTGTGTTGGTTTTGAAGAGCATGTACAGTTAATTCAAGGGACTGGATGTCCACGAAGGTAGTAAGGTGATTTTGTTTCTTTCCACAAATGTGCTTTTGTGTGGCCTTTTTGAGATGGGATGTGGCACAGTGCTGATCCCCTGTCCCCCCCCAGAGTCTTTGCACCTCCCTGCCTGTGTGCGTGGCAGATGCTCTGTGTTTGGAAAGGAGCAAACAGCATTTTTTGTCTCTTTCTGTCTCTTACAAGTTTCACTCTGAGATGAAATAAGAGATAAATGAAGATGAAGGGCTGCTGCAGGAATTTTGTGCAGTGGCAGACTTGGTTGAAATACAGTGCTCGAAACTCCTTAAAGATGGGATTGTTTTGCACATTGCCTCTGCAGATCCAGGTTCGACTTGTTCCCAGACCATCTGAGATGGGTTCACTGAGTTCCCTTCGAGCTTTTGGTCTGATCTGTGTGCAGCCTGTTCCGTGGGGAGGGCTGTGCTCTGGTTGGAGCTGCTGAGTCAAGAGAAACGTGTGATGGGAAGAGTGGGATGGGAGTTAGGAGGAGCCTCTTGCTGAAAGAATTTGCAGCTCTCACGAGTTTCCTGTGTCTGCAGTGGTACAATGGGCTTAGGGCACGGTAAGAGTTGCTGCTGTCCCACTGCAAGGCTGTTGAAGACACTCAGTCTCTTTCTGATGTATCTTAATGTGTTTCAGACCTCTTCCTCGCCCATTAGTCCCTTGGCAGAAGCCACTGACTATTACAAGACTGTGAAGCATCTGAGATCTATCTCTATATCTGTCTCTGTTGAGACCTGTAAGATTGACTTCTCATTAATACCATAATTAGTGATAAAAGTGGGAGTAAAGAAGCAGCAAACTTGCTTGGAAATACTGGAGAGAGCCCTCCTTTTTTTCTTTGTTTTGGAGAATGCTGGTGAAAAGCAAGTATGGTGTGACCTTGGAATAATTCAGATGTGCTGCTGCTTTCCCTTTCCTGAAAGGGAGTTGGAAATTTGATGTTGCCCTTCTAATTCCTCTCTATTCAGAAGCGTATAAATAACGCAGATTTAAAACTCTTAGGAGCAAAGCAGAGAGCACAAGGCCTCAGTAGGAAGATGCCATCCAACCTGCAGGTGTGTAGGTCCGCAGAGGCTGTCTCGTGGGCTGGGAGAGGCACAAAATCCAGATCTGTGACTGTCACAGAGGAGGCTGCATTAAACGCTGCCTCTGCTTCAAAGTCACCAGTAAAAGGACGTACTTCTAAACAAATACCCACAGTATATGGAATTAATCACTGCTCCTTCCTGAGGCATGGAGCAGCTCCCTCCATCTTCTTCCTTTAAACTGAAGGCAGAAGTCTTTGGTGGCCGTTTCTGTTCCTGCTGCTCCAGCTTCCCCGTCTCGTGCTCTTGCTTAGCAAATGAGAAGCCCAAGTGCTTTCCGGAGCGTCAAAGGGAGGCAGTTTCCTTGGTTCCAATTTTGCATTCAGTCCAGTTCCTCCCTTTCTCATGTTCACTGTCTCCCTCATCTGATGCCTGGGGATGACTGACCTCTTTGCTGAAGCCTGCCTGAGGATGTTTCTAGAAGCAATGGTGAAATGTAATGGGTTGCTTTCAGAGAGGGATCTTCCAAGAGCCGAGGAAAAGCACGGCAGTATTTAATGGAGTTTAAACTTCCAGCCTCTCTCGTCCGCTAAACATCCTTCTTGGGATGTCAGAAAGCTCTAGAAAACCGTCATCATGTTTATTCTGGAAGCTGGTTACTTCCTCAGTGCTGGTCAGAGGCCACATTCAGTTGTATTTAGTTTATGAACTGTTTTTAAATACAGTATCCCTGAACTACAGGCTACCACTATCTTCCTGGAAAGCCACCGATCTGTTGATACAGAAGGTTGTGTCGAGGCATAACGTCAGCCTTGTGAGTGACTTCCATGGCCACATGCATGGCATCGGTCATGTGATGTTTGATTTTGTGGACTTTGAGGGAAGCCTTTTAGCTCTCTCCTCTCTCCATATAACATGTCCCGGTTCCCTTCCAGGCTCACTTTGTTGTGACACACCGTGCAACCTCCAGAGTTGTTTTGAGATGACTGATCTGCTTGTTCTCAATCTGAGCAGCCCTTTCCGTAGTTCCTTGTTTGACCAAATGCAAACTTGTTCTGGCTTGTCTTTGTCCTGAACTTTATTCATGGCCTGTAGGTTCCACCAGCTCTCTAATCCCTTGCACATTTTAGCCTGCTTTGTTATAATATGGCTCAGAATATGCATAATTATAATGATTTTATTTTACTTTGTGTTCAGAGAGAAAGCAGTCCTGCCTTTAGAGGTCTAAGCTTCACTTAGAGTAAAACATAAACAGGACAACATATGTTAAGCCTGATAAAACAGTGCTCTGCCACTGTGCTTTGTCCCACTAGGTTTATAGCAGTGGCTTGTTTATCAGTGTTTTTCTTTCCTTATTGAATTTTGTGAATATCACTTCTTTGAAAAAATCTGCTCAGAGTAACAAGTTTGACTGTAGATTTTTGGCACCCACTCAAAATTGTTTGCTTGGCTGTGGTGGCGAGTTCCACTTTGTGCTATGAAAGCAGTCGTTTCCTGCTCTGTGCTACAGCAAAATGTTCTCTTTGGTTTTGCTGGCATGCAGCTCGCTGAACCTCCTCACACGCGGGAGGAGGGGAAGGGGTGGGAAGCAGGACGGGCAGCAGCATTTCAGCAGTTTTGCCCGAGAGGGAGCTAACTGTCTGCTATAAATGGGCTGAAGGCATGTGATCTGGCTTCAGCCACTGTCCTTCCCCCTCCGAGTTCAGCTTAGATGTCAGGAAAATCCAGGCAGCAGGGGATTCGGTTTGGCATCATGTCTGAAAAATGCGGTGGGAATGCAAGCCTCGCTGTGCAGCGGTTGTAGTTGCTGGGGGACGGTGGATGCGCAGTTCCCCTGCTGAGACCGAAGGACCCACAGTTAATTCGTGTTCCCTTCCCTCTCTTCCAGGGGCTGATAGTTCTTGGTGAAGCATCACCCCCTGATCCTGCAGTAGATGATGCATCCCGTCCCGTTAGTGCTGAAGTTAAGCTGGAGCCTGGGGCTGACCGGCTGGTAAGTGCCAGCAGCAGAAGTGACTGAGTCCAGATACTTCATGTTCGTGCATTTTGGGTAGAGAAAGTTCAGCCTTTAAGCTGCGGTGGAGAGAGATGCTCGAACCACGTCTGGCATGAGACTGGCCCCTGCAGAAGCACCTCTCTGTGGGACTTCACTTGGGAATTGCTGATCTGTTGTTCTATGTAGCTCACCCCCTCCCAGATTATTTTGGGGTTAATAAATGATAGGATTTAAACACCTTTTAGAACAGAGTTCCTTGGGGTACCTTTGTAATATGCATTAGCATTTTGTGAAGCTTAAAAATCCTAACTAATCCTTTCCCTCTAGCAAAAAAAGTACCTCAAACTGAGAGCAGCACAATTAGCAAAGGCTTCTAAAGATGTGGCTATTAATATCTGCCTGAGTGTTACCCTTTGGAAAGGGAACTAATGATTTCAGTGAGATGCGCTGGAAACTATGCAGAGTGCCAGGTATTTATTATTTAATGCAGAAATGTAGGCCACAGACTAAAGGCTTGATCGTACCGTTCAGCCTGACTGTGATTACTTTTGATCCTGCGGGACACATCGACGTACTAAAATGGAGGATTTCGAAGTTGTGGTGTAGTACTAACAGAAGGGTTGTCCCTGCGTGGCTCAAACTCCTGCTGCCGAGCTGCAGCGCTCCTGCTTTGCTGGCCTAAGGCTGCGTTTGGGGAGAAACGGAGCTTCGCTGCAATGGCAGTGCTTGAGTTTCATTGAGCAATATTCAATGTCGTTGATACAGATAAAAAAGTGAACTAGAAGTGACTAAAATTGTGCTTTGAGTGTTTTCTTCTGTCACTGGCAAGATGTTGCCAGAGCTTTCCTGATACTGAATGATAGTATGAAATACTGTGACATTTTCTGTTAACGCCGGACCGCAGAGGGGTTATTATGAGCGATTGTAAAAAAATGTCTCCTCGCTTGACACTGGCTTTCAGATGTGCGTTTGGAATTTGAGTCTTTAATAGCAGATCAGCTGAGCCCAAAACTCTGCTGTGTAATTTGGTACAACGAACAGGTTTTGCTCACGACTGAAATAGTAGATGGTGCTTCAGACGAAAACAGAGCCACGCTGGAGGAGCGACGGGAGGCTGGGGAGCCAGGATGACAGGGGCTGCTACAGATCATGATTGAATCACAAGCATTACGCAGTGTCTGGTTTTGAACAGCGATGTCCGTCTGTCGTGTGGCTCCCCTGTTTTCCTGCTTTAACCCAAAAAGCGCTTGGAGAATAATAAACAAGCGCAGTGACAGCGTGCTCCGATTCGCTTCTGAAATGGCATGCTCCCGCACTGATGAATTGGCTGTATTTGGGAGCTAATCTGTAAATGGCAAGCTGATAACAGAGATAAATGATTAAATTTAACAGTGATAGGAAGAATATTTTATTCCTTATCAGTTCAAGTCTGGATGTTTGTCTGACATGAGTGTATTTTCAGCCTGGGAATCCGCAGATGGAAGGACTGTGTCCCACCTGACTTCGTCTCTACATGTTAAAGATGTTTTCCATATACTTACAAAATCATCACATTGTCCTTTTGTAGGTTGTCTTAGACATCATCTCTGTATGTATAGAAGAGAAAATGTCTGCAGGTTTTGGATGTATGGAAAAGAAAACGCTTGGGCAGTGCTGTCTGGTTTTGCTGCTCACAGCCATCTCACTGTTGCTGTGTTTACTAATTTCCTGCATCGTCCCTTTACTCATCCCTTTCACTTGGGTATGAGCTCTTCCGGCAGAGACTTTTATTACTGCAGTGCTCACACGATGGAGATCCGATCTGTCTTGCTGGTCTTGGAGGTAACAGTGACACAAATAGATACTGAGAGCAGTGAAGACCAGTTTTCAGTGTAAAGCAGGCTGCAGGTTCCTGCGTGGCACCTTCTTGTGGCTGCTCCTGCAGCCATGCTTTTACCGTCTTGGAGGGTAACTCCTCCTGAAAAGGACTTTGTATTCCCCCTTCTACACGTGGCTGCTGGACACGCACATCACTCCAGGCTGCCAGCTTCTCTGCAGCAGTGCTGGAGGTGTCAGTCACCAGAAACACTGCCTCCAGGCACCCAGCTTCTACGCCCTGCTGCTGGAGGGTTTGTGCTGAGTTAGACTTGCTGTAAGGGTGGGGTGTTGAGTCAGAGCCTTGATCTGCTCAGAGCCAGAGATTAGCCCAGAGACCATTCCTGTTGCGTTAGGACACTTACTGGAAGGGTATCTCATGGGCCTCTCCTGGCGAGGTGCTTATCTTTTTGGCGCTCTTTGGGCTGCTTAGAATTAGGCTTTTGGGTTTTTTTTTTTTCCCGCAAAACTGGCAGAGTAAGAGACAGGTCTGCAACATAGAGTAAGGGGAGGAATCCATCCTATCTCATGCCCAGCTCCTCTTTGGATCTCATCCGTTCATGGATACCTCCCTTGGCCAGCGTGAATGCAGGATACGTGTCCTCGGGCATCGGCTTGATAACGTGGGATGTGTCTGATAATCCCTAGGAGGAACTAATCCTATCATCAGTGGAGGGAAGGGCTTTGCAAAGGAGGCCTGGGAATGTCTGTTGGGAACTGGAAGCTCAGTATGTGAATAAATATTTCTGCCTGAAGATGGGAATAACACGAAGCCCTGAAGAAATAACTTGGCTGTTGATGCTGGTTCATTGCTTGTGTTGCTGGTCTCACGAGGGGGGGGAACTTAAAATTTTTGATAGTAAATGAGAGAAGATGTTGATGGAGTGTCTTGGTAAAGCTTTTCCTTGCGTTAGGGATTTTTATCTAGTAATAGGTGAAGGTCTGAACCTGTCTGGTTTGTTTTGTTTGGGGTTTTTGGAATAAGGGGGACGTTCCTGGTGTTGGGTCGTGACTATCTGCCAGCGCACAGCTTCTACCTGCCATGAAGGCCCCTGGCTGCAGGCTCCTGGTTTCACGTGCAACAAGCAGATGTGCTAAAGCTGAATCTTTGATGCCCCCCCAAGAGTCCTAGAGATCCTAAAGACCTGGGCTCCCAGACCTCAGGCATACCCAAAACACGGAAAACAGCTCGCTCTGGAGCATCGATGTGATCCTGGTGGGATGAGCGCCTCTCTGGATCCCAGCCCGGCTGCCCAGCCGGCCCCGGGGGAAGGCACGGCGTTGGGAGGTGCGTCTTGCTGGCGCAAGAGCTCTGCCTCTGCTCTGAACGCGGGAGATGTCAGCTCTTGCAGTCCTGCTCGTTCCTCCGTTGCTCGTGTCAGAGCCTTGGTAGGGTACACCCATCTTCAGTGTGATAAGGTGAGCCTGGGCTGTTTCTGATAAGTGGACTTAGGATTGATACTTTCCAGCTCCTCCAAAGGAAGCAGAGGGGTCACCCTCTCTTCCTATCTTGAACCACTGAGCCAGAGACAGCTCTGGGAGAAGAGGTTCCTCCTTTAAGACCCTTTCTGGAGAAGAAAATAAATACCCTATTTCAAAAGAGCTTATGAGTCATGTGTACCCGCCCTCCTGAACCGTGGGTGCCTCTGGCGGAGGTGTCATGTGAAGGCTCAGCCTTGCCAAGTCTCTGGAAACCAGAGGGAAAACGTTCAGCTCCTGCACTGACTTCACCTCGCCAGGGTGCCGCGTTGTGCTTGCGTAACGCTTCTGGCACGATCTGATCTCGCCCCACGTCTGCGCGCTCAGACCGAGTGTCGGAGACGAGCCTACCGGGCTGATCCTCTCTCGGCCCCCCGCTCCCCGCCCCGGGAGAAACGTCTTTTTTAGCAGAAGTGTAGAAAACCCAGCAAAGTTCCTCAAACAGGCAACAGGCAGAAGTTGAATGTGTTGTTAGAAATTGCTCTTCCCTTGGTGAGTCAGGTCTCTGCTATTCTGGAAACTGTTAGTCCAGCACCGCCGTAGCCTGATTTTAGTTGTTCATTGAGTTGGGGGAGTGATTGCAGGGAAGGTTTTAATCAACCAACACCGATGCTTTTGAGATGGGGAGTGGGGGACAAGCAGGGAGGCCAGTCATCTATGTAGATAAGTCAGACCTTTTCTTTTGTCTCTTTTACTAATGCTTGAACTGCACCACCGCCCTTGCGTGCACGAAGGGGAAACCCAGCTAGAGCGACATTGGCAGTGAGTGTAGGAAGTGCTGCACGAAGGCAGAAATGCAGTTTAACCCCAGGGAGGAGGAGGAGGAGCGTGTCTGAAAACGAAAAGAAAGGGCTGCAGGGATGAGACTGGGGGCAGTGAGTGCCAGGGGTACGAATGTGCTGGA